TCTAATAAGGCGAACACCAGCACACACTTTTAGCACAGTTGTTTTGCACTTATATTTTGCCTAGAAAAAACATTATATTACATATGGTCCTCAAACAGTTTCTTGCTTTGTCATCCCCACTACCCATTAAAGTTGTTGCTGTGGGAGCTGTGATGTCACTAATTGCCACCTATGCTCAAACACAGTACTCAGGGGATTGTTTTAATGCTGCTAGTCATGTAGCTGCTGTATAACTGTAGCTATCAGTGGAGATAATGCTAGTGTTTGTGTTTTAGCCCACAAGATGTGGCCAGAACTTTTAATGTTAAAGCAGAGGTCATTACATCAAGTCAGGGGTAAATATGTTTTGGTGCAAAGTCTGAGAGACTATGAAGTGACACTGGAGGAATTCCACCATCTTGGCCAAAGGAGTTCCTAGCTGTATTTTTGTACACTTTTATCACTAGCTGACAAGATGAATGGAAAACACTTTAACTCAAACCCTGAATATTAATGTGCTTGAGTTCAGGTGCTTTTGCAGTGTCCAGCACTTACTATCTTTTCATTTGTAGCACATTTTCTGTCCTTTGGAAACAAGTATTTTCTTCCAGCCCTCTGTTTCGCCCTATGCTTAGCCTCAGTAATTGCTAACAGTTACTCATACAGGACTTTTTGCAGAGTTGGTTGTAGTGATTTTTATGCAACAGCTGTAGCACCTGGAGAAGAGGGAAGCATGTACTTGCCTGTTTTGTCAGGCAGAATGTGTGTTTGATGTGGCTGTTTTTAACCACCATTCTAATAGGTCACTTAACTACATAAACAAACAGAGCCAGAGAATGGGCTGCACCGTGTGTTCAACTGAGTCAGTAAAGTAGCCAGGTTAATGTTTTCTCACTGCTACAACCAAGAGTATGGTAATACAAAATCAGGGCAGGAATTTATCTACATTCAACTCTCCAGCCTCTCTGCACATCGAAGATTTTGGAGAACTGAACTATTTGGAGGACAGAGTGAAAACATATTTCAGCTCGAATGTATACACTCATGGGGTGAGTGAGTGATACAACTGTAAGAGGACAAAAAATCTGAGATATAGATCACTTGCTTTTGGAGTTCAGTCAGCTCTGAATAGATGCCAATACAATGCAGAACTTACCTATGAAGTTCTGGGTTTTGAGTGTGGGAGATATCAGAATGAGGACAAAAAGGTCTATTTACCAAAAGTCACGCTGAAGACTATCAGGAGAAAATGCATTTTTTGACCAGATGAGTACATTGACAGCAACTGGTCTTGATTAAATGGAAGATCCATCTAATACAGAATTTCATCTCTGACAGTAGTCAGTGGAGGCTGCTAGGGAAAGAATATGGTAATTCTTCCCCAAAAAATGCCCTTCTACATCTGGCAATGAGTGGTTAAGCCTTTGTTGAGCCAAAGGATGGACCTGGACCATCATATTTAATAGTCCTTTTAAAGCATCCTTTAAGTTATGTAATTGCTTTTTTAACCCAGTTACACTTTCAGCCTCCAGAGTGTCCTATGGCATTGCCTGCCATGCACAACTGGATTTCATTCTGTGAAAAAGTAGTTCTTTCTGTTGTAAAGCTGATGCCTTAAATTGATGCCTCATAATTCTTCTTTTCTGAGGAACAGGGACTACCAGTTCCTAATGACCACTGTAGTTGTGTGTAAGGTGAAAGTTTTAGCATTTGCTTTGTTCTTTATTTCCCCTATCTGTCCAAGGTTTTCTGAGCTGAAAGTATTACACTAATTATGCTAATTAGTCTCCCTATGTTTGAGGGTGACACGAACTCCTGTGATAGTCCTTGCTTATCACCCACCCTTCTTTATGTTTACTAGCTCTACTGCAGTGTCTAGGGAACTGAAGTAACAGTATTTAAATCATGGCCATTGTTTTATGCTTCCTGCCCTTTATTTTCTAATAAGTCTTACAGTTGTGTTTGCCCTCTTGGTTGTTGCTGAGCTTTTTCCTTCATCGAACTATTCACACTACTTCTAAGATGTCTTTTGACTAATTTTGAATTAAGCAGAGCAGGTCCAAACACAACCAGTGGAGCTCATCCAGACTTTTCTTGTATTTTGTTGCTAAAGCACCTGCATCTTATTCCATCCCGCTGAGTCTCCTTAAGACTCTTGAGTAAAACACCTTGCAACAGAGATGTGTACTGCAACGGGTAGGAGGGGAAGGGGGAAAGGTAGCTGTGGGTTTTATTGTACAAACTTAACTTTTCATGATTTTTTTCTCTGAGAAAGAAGAAAAAACAATTGACCTCTAAGACAAAGGGCTGGAGTCCTGTTTAGACTGCCAGTTATTGGACACTTACTAAGCAAAGCATATATTTGAGATGAAATCTGTAGCTTTCCAAGTAAAAGTGATTCATCTCACTGTGAGAACCACTTCTTCTGTAAGAGTAGGTTTGCAGCTAAAATCAGTTATAAATTGCTCTGATCAGGTCTTGGGTTTCACAGGTTAGTCACAGTTTTGTTCCTTGCCCTTTTTCTCAGGAGGTGAGTGGCTCCTGGCTGCCACCTTTCCCTCACCAGCATAGATCCTAGTCATCTGTCACATATGTCCTTCCCACATCAGCATACCGCTTCTAGCCTGCTTCACAAATGATTCTCTCAGATTACATTTGTAAGGAGAAGAGCACCATTCCTCACAAGTCCACATGCCCCAGGACAAACAGCACAAGCTACTACTGGACAAAGCCTGGCTTATTTTTAACACACAGTCCCCAGCACTGTCAGAGGTGGGTGGGTACAGCCGTTGAAGGAATGTGTTGGTACTAAATGTACAAAAGCAGCTAAACCATCCCTCTCCGAGCAGGGTACTCCAAGAGCTGTGGATTGGGAATTAGGAGGGGAAGTCAACATTCACACACAGAGAGCTGAATATTATTTTTCTTAGAAAAACACTCTGCAGCAGTGAGACAGAGGGTGTACACCCCTTTCCGTGGACTGCAGCCTGTCAGCAGCATTACCATATTCATGACTTAAAGGCTTGTGAATGCTAAGAATGTAAGAGGTCAGTTTGGCCCAGGGCCAGGACTCAACCCTCTGCCTGGTGAATAATGTGCTTCATAGTCCCTTTGTTGAACAGAGCGCCAGAATGCAGGAGAACAGGGGGTTACAATATACATTGGCTGCACAACTGAATGCCACTGCTTTGTGGGAAGGGTGTGGAGACAGTTGTTGCCTGTGCATGTAAGATTTGCAGAGAGATACATCTCTGTTGTGCAAAATTATTTCATTGTGGTGTCCTGACTTGATGCTGAATAGGGACTTTATGTCACATGTGGCCTGTATGATCCGTCAGGAACAGGGCACAACTCTAAGTAATCAGAAGCTTTTTATCTCAGGACAGCAGCTTGGTAAGTATGGAAGACAGTTATGCTAAAAGGGCTGCATAAAAAAAGGGGCTGATTCTTTCTATGTAAAAAGACTTGATATGAACTACAGCTAGAGCGAGACAGATAGAAATGTTTTTCTAAAAACTTATATTTGCTTAAACACCTATCCACTCCCTCATGCCCACCCCCACCCCTTCTCAGTCATTAAGTATTTTTAGCTTGAATGTGCCCAGAAGGAATCTTGAATAGGTGATGGAAGGCCACAAGAGAAACAACATAACAGGTTGCATGTGTAAAGGGGTCACCAGAGCAAGGTATAGAAAAATAGCTGAAGGAACTGAGTACTTGAAACTGGTGACATCGAGGTAATGGCATCAGACACAGAGAAAAATAGAATGTAGCAGTTGGAATAAATGGCAAAACCAAACAAAAAACCCCCAAAACCAACTCAATAACCCTTTGGAGAGGTAGAAGTCAGAGAAACAAAAGTGATTTTTATCTGTTAGATTTCTACTGCCTTTAACCACTGCTGATGCTGCTAGTGACAAGACCTACTTTGTTTTCACTGATCACAGCTCTTGGGAAAACTGAACATGGTACTGTGTCAAGGCCAGATAAGACCAGAAGAAATGGAGAGGATTGTTTACTAAATTCAGTGGTCACAGAGATGAAACTATTAGAAACTGTACTTTTCTTATGTAGATGAAATACTGATCCTAATGTAGTTTGCAGAAAGTGTTTATGATAAGGAGGAAAACCATCTTGATCATCCCATTCAGAGATCAAATGGCTTTTCTGGGAGACTGGAATAGCTAGCTATTTGCAGCAACTATCTAGTACTTTCTGATTTCAGATAAAATGGATTTATTGTTGAACAATCAATTGTCTCTGAAAACACATCAGTTATTCTGGAAGATAGTGACTTCTATTTGGAAAGCTTGCTCACTTGGGGAGTTGCATGCAAATTAGACCAATACTCTGCAACTGTTTGAGGTAGCTTTGCTAGGGAACTTCTCTAAGTGGGCAAGAAAGCAGGAAAGCTGCAGCTGAGAGAGCACATTTTGTACAGGAATCTAAAAGTATGGCATTTGTAATTTAGCTTCTCAGGAAGAAAATAGAGATTACCATAGACATCAGTTTGACTAGCTCAATAATAAACCAGTGGTCCTTATACCTAAATAAGATTATTTATTGTTGTTTTGTACATTCTCTCCTTATTTTTGAGATGGGAGAAGAGCGTTTGAAAACACTACTTAATAAAGAGCAGCAGCAAACCAAGCCACGTACTTATGCAAGGGAAGACACTTTGTAATTAGAAGTGCTTTTAACGTAAAAGATTATGGACTTCATAATGTAATTAAAAAGTATGTCAGAAATAATTATACCTATATTTAAGACTTTAAAGGACTTCTTAGATGTCTGAGATTTCTCTGGTTCTTCAATAGACTGACTATCCACATCATTAAACTACTGTTTTCTTAAATAGAATTGCTGTCTGAGGATGCAAGCTTTTTCTTTCTTTTTTTTTTAACACATGACAGAAATACAAACAACCTGTGATAATAGTTATATTACTTAAAAAAACACCAAACTTAATCTATACATAATGTATGCTAATTATTGAAGCAGACTTTTTACAAAACTAATGATCAATTAACATTTTATGTTGGAACTGCATGGAATGTATTATCCTGATTCTGGAGTCTATTAAGACATATTTCTTTTCTAGTGTTCCATTTCATTAGTTGCTTTATGAAACAACTAAGAGTACTGTTTCAAAGTTCTTTTTCAAGTGATAATTGATACTTATTAATAAATATTCCTCACCAAGAACACATTAGGAGTTGGGCCTACTATGAATGATTTAGACTGATGGGTGACCTTAGAAAATCCATGCTTGAGCTTGAGGTTAATAAACTGAAAATATTAACCTTGTCCTGTGTATGACTGGATTTTTTCTCTGCAACCATTGCTGTGAAAAGCCATTCAGAAAACACTCCACTCCAAAAGATTTGCTTCCAATTTTACTGGTCACTGATAGCACAGATAGCTTGGGGTTTTTGCTTATTCTTACATCTAGAGTGTTGTGCTTGTGGTATGTTAAACTTGTCTGTCTGCCAGGCACCTACCAGCTGATCTCTCGCTTTATCCCCTGAATAGGAAAAGGGGAGAAAACAAGATGAAAAAGTTTGTGGGTCAAGGTAAAGACAAGGAGATCCCTTGCCAATCACTGACACCAGCAAAACAGACACAACTCAGGGAAGATTCATTTATTTTCAACTAAAAATAGAGTAGGATGGTGAGAAACAAAGACAAAACTAAAAACACCTTCCCCAGCCTCCACTCTCTTCCCAAGCCCAACTTCACTCCTTCATTCCCAACTCTTCTACCTCCTCTCCCTGTTCATGCAGACTGGGGGTCATGGTCAGCCCACAATAGTTCCTCTCTGCTGTTCCTTCCTTCTCACGGTTTTCCTCTGGGCCCTTTCCACAGGATACAGTCCTTCACAAAATGCTCCAGTGTGGGTCCCTTTCATAGGGTGCAGTCTTTCAGAATAGACTGCTCCAGTGTGGATCCCCCATTGGCCACAGCTCCTGCCAGAAAAATTGCTCAGGCATGGGGTCTACACAGGCTGCAGCTTCCTTCATGGCATGTCCACCTGCTGTGGGAGGGGGTCCTCAATGGGCTGGGTGGATATCTTCTCCAGTGTGTTTCTCCACAGACTGCAGGGACTTGTAGCACTTGTAGCACCTCCTCTCCCTTCTTTTCTGACGCTGATGTCTGCAGGTTATCTCTTACATTTTTTTCACTTCTTTCTCACAGCTGTTGCACAGAATTTTTCATGCTGTCTTAAATATGTTTTCAGAGACACCACGAACTGGTTTGAAGTGCTCAGCTTTGGGCAATTGTTGGTTCATTTTGGAAGCAGCTCTGTACTACACAGAGGCCACGCCCACAGGATCCCTCCACTTCTCACTGCCAAAGCCTTGCCACTAAATCAAATACAGTTCTAATTTGTGCTTTTCCACAGTAAGAAATCAGACCTGTTTCTCCCACAAGAGGGGAACTGCCCATTAGTCAAATTCTGCAAAACTGCCCCTTTAGATAGAACAGTACTAGACAAATCACACTTGCATGCTATTCCTCCTCAAGCTTCATCTAATCCTGAACTTGACAAATATGATATTTCACTAAACTAAATTAGTTTTTCCCCTGCAATCAAATGTCTACTACTCTATCTGTAGGTAAATGACTGCAGGGAGTTTTTGTGAGGCATTATTAAAAGAGGTTCTTAATCCTCACTGTGTTTAGTGAACACCAGAGATCACTGAACCCTTCTATCTCCCGTCCTCAGTACTTTCTAGTCTTTTGCAACTTTTGTAAAAGATGGAAGAAAGCATTCTTTTTGTATGAAAGGAAACACAGTTTGCACAGTTTCTCTGAGGCCAGAAAGTGAGTCAGCAGTAGAAAGTAAAGAGTTCAGAGCCACATAATAGTATCCAGTTACTTCACTGCCACAGTCCAGCTTTTGGAAACTGCCAGACCATAGATTCACTAACATTCATGATTATTTCAGGAATAAGTTATTCTGGAAATGAATAGAGACAACATCCAATGCCACCATGTGATTTTATTTATTCACAGAGAGTGTTCCTTAAAATTGGCACCACATAGCAGAAAATATTGCCATCAGTGTCACAATCTTCACCCATCTCAATTTTCATAGAAAGCTAAACTACTGGGCTTGAAAATTGTGAAATGGTAAAATACTGTATTTTCCTTTAGCAAAACAACATTCCTCATGCTTAAAATATCTTAACTGCATATATGATGATGTAAGGTAGAGAAAGCAGTGATAAACTCTAAGCCCTACAAGGATATATAATTGAAGTGGCATGTTAATCACATTAAGACCTCTAACAAAACTTAAGGGATCAAGTAAAAACTATACTTTGTACTTTGGCTTTAAACTCTACTTTTACTGAAGAAGCTTGTGCCCTTAGTTCAAGTGCTATCTCAGGAAGACACATGCTGAAATGATTTAGAAGTTGTAATTTTAGTCAGTTACAAATTAGCATATGTGGTTATCTTCACAGTTAATATTCAGAATTTCCAACACTTCCAAAATTATGAACACCTACCTCTCTACTCACTTCACTGAAAAAACTTTCAGCTCAAAGTCCTATTTTCCTTTCTTTACCCTTCTCTTCTCTGGAAATGAATGATAGGGAAGGGGTGCAGGATGTTTCCTAGAGCATATTCCAAATGATCTAAGGAATTTAGACCCTGTTTTTTCCTCTCTCCCTGGACTGAAGAGCTTGTAATCCTGTTTCTCCTGAAAGAATCGGAAGGTACAAGAAAGCAACAACTTCATGGGTTTATGAAAGGAAGGAAATGAAGTAATGATAAATTATGTAGACAAAAAAGCTACTAGATTCTTCATTCTGGTCATGAAGAGAGCAACTTTGTTTTGCCTGCAGAACATGAACAGTGCCTGAGTCAACAAGATCATGTACTTCAGTGAAAATTCCTTTTTTGGTAACTAGAGAGTATGACTTAGTGCATTGTTAGTAAGTGATGCAAAGCAACAGGCAAAAAGGGTCAGTGAAAGCAATGAGGCAGTAAACATGTTTCACACCTTCTACGTGTCACTGCTACCAGCCTTGTCTGCAACAGTCACAAGTGCAGGTTAACTGAGTTTATGGAAAGAAAAACTAAAGCTAAAAACATCAGGTAGAAAATCTAGCTTTAGCTCTACATATCTGCCTTTAAGAGCCTGTGCTTTTAGTTTTTTTAAGTGTTGCTAGATATTGTACAACAGTTGTATATAATTTTCTGAAAGGTAGATAGAGCTGAAGGTTTTCTTTGCTGTGTACCATATACACCTGAAGTAAAAGTTATGCTTCCTAAGCAGTCTGTAAAAAAAAAACCCAAAACAATCAAACTGGTTCCAACTCAGAGAATGACAAACTTGCCCAGTTTGACCCAAAGCCAAAACTTTATTTCCGGAAGGAAGTTGGTACAGAAGCAAATATCATCCCCCAAATACTAAGCCTGTGAAAGACCTGTGAAAGAAGCAATGAAAGAATTTTAGACACAACTTCCAAGACACTTCTCCCATTTTGAGAAAATATCAAAGCCGAGTTATTTTGTTCAGCAGTTTGCATTTTGCATTGGAGGGAAGTGCTCTGAGATGGAGACTGCTTCTCATATGACCTTCAGCAGCTCAAGTTTTGACAAAGCTCAAGTTAAGCTGTCAAAGCAGCAACTGCTTAAAAACATTGCATACTCATAAAAAGTTGGCATTTCAAATCACTGTTAGGTTCCCAGGTAGTGTCATTGGAAACTATGGAGTGTTAGTTCTGTAACAATTGTCTCTGGCTATAGAAGGCTGGAATTTGAGGTCTGCACAGTTCAGCCTTGCAAAAGCTTTTGTATTACAGATGTTGAAGAAGCAACTTAAAAAAAGCAATAATGAACTATACAAGTTGGTTTTATTTTATTTTTTTTAGTTTTGGTGCTCCCACCATTAGCAAGATAAATATTCTTAGAAGCATTTCATAGAATTTGCTTTCAAGAAATGTGTTTGTTTTAATAGAATAAGTGGTCCTTAAAAGCTGAAAAAAGTTAATTACAAAGTCCTTGCAAAGTCAGTTAAATGCAATTCCTTGACAGGGAGAGCCAACAGTTAACATGGCAACAATCATCTGTGCAGGGGGTGTTAAGAACAATAAAGTATAAAGCTTCCATTTGAATAAAATCTCTTTCTCATTACTCCCAGAATAGTTTATTGTTTTCTTTTGAAGGACACATGACAGTGCAGCAAGCTACAGGAATTCTTCCCTGTGAGAAACTAGGAGAGAGTCCTCCTCTTATCTGAGCAGTATGCCCTCTCTCCTCCTCCAGCAAACACTCAGAAGTAGATGGGAAACAGAAATCAGGAAAAAACCCCAAGGTTTTTCTTAGCTGTCTACTTATTTGTACTACCATTACTGAAGAGACAGGCAGAGACCTACCAAAGTTGTGTCCATCAGTCCCTTTAACATTTGGATTTAGGCTGCTTTTCACCACAACAGTGATTTGAAAGTGCAGTGATTTGAAAGATCTGGCTAAGCCACGTCCATAATGGGAAGGCAAAAATAAGCATATGAAGGTGAGCAATATTCCCATGTTAGTGACACTTGAAGTGAACAGAACCAGCTGACAGATCAGAATGGATCCCATCAACCATGATGATTCATCTTTTCCATCCTCCTGCTTCTCTTTTAGCAGATTAGATTTTCTTCCAACTGATCAATGCAATTGATGTACGTAGTTAATGGATTCCTGTCTCAGTGGCATGGCAAGCACTGTGGGTTCCATAGTGGTCTTCTCCCTTTCACTCCCACTGCTTTCTTCCCCTACCATGCTTGTTCTCTCTGCACCAGAGCTTCTCTTACTAGGTGGAATCTACTGTCACATCAGACACATTTACCTCTATTTTTACTGTTTCCTTAACAGCTTTTAGTCTTACTAAAATTTTTCGTGAGCAAGCAAAAAAAACCTCAAAAGCCACACTTACAAACAGTGAAAGTTGGGCTTTTTCCCTTCACCAATGTGACTTTGCATTTTGACACAAGATGCCTAAGGCTAATCGTTTTCCGACTTTTTATGCTGTTGAGGAAAAGCTTGCTAAAATCTGGTCACACTAACAGTTCAGTAAACATTACTTTGCCCTTTAATACAGTTTGTCTTGGGAGACTATAATACCGCAAATATTCATTTTAGAGCCTACATTTATGTTATAGTGTCCTGCTGCTCTCCCTTGAACACAGGGCATCAAAATATGCAGCATCTCTTACAAGTACGTCTTGAGAAGTAGTGTCATCTTGTAACTGAACAGTGAAAACTACAGAAGTGATGGTTTAACCCCTGAAGGAAGCTGCAGCAGGTTACTTAGAAGACATATTTACGAAAACATGGCAGATTATTCAATACTCAGGCAGAACTGGACATGACATTCATTAAAGAAATACATCAGGTTCTTCAACTGGTATGAGGCATAATAACCTGAACTTCCTGAAGATCTGAAGAAAAATATTAAGAGCTATAATGAAATGTTTTTATTTTTTACTTGTTTAAGGGAAGTAAGGCTAAATTTTAAGCTTCTGCTTAGTAGTTGCATAATCTCCAATTAGATTTCATGAGAGTAGTCAGTCACTGAACTAGGATTGAAGTTGTATTATGTAGTTCCATTGTTAGCAGGAGTAAATAAGTACACTTCACCTTGTTGTACCTCAATGCCAGTTTGACACTAATACCAGCACTGTTAAGGATTAAAACAAACAAACAAATTAAAAAAACCAGTTCCCTTGCCCCCACCTTACAGCCTAGTCTGTTCAGAATGCAAGTAGACAGCCAGGAAAAAAACCACAAAACAACAAAACCATGTTTTGATTGGTGCAAAACATACTCCACTGGTTACAAATCATGCAAGTTTTCAAGTATACTTATTCTTCATTTTGAGTTGCTGGGGCAAAAACCTGCCCTCTCTCCCTCTGCCAAGCTCTCAGATGTTAGGCACCCACCTTTTGAGCTGTTAAGAGCCTGTGAACATCAAACACTTATTTTATGACTAAGGCCTACAAGCATTCCCAAATGGGAAAAATGTTCACATTAGTGGACATCCCCCTACTATAACATTATTACAATCAAAACTGAGCAAGAGAATGCCTTTAAGCAAAAGGATCCGATATCAGAGGTGCAGCTGTTTTCACTACTCCCGCCTTGATCTTGTACACATGTCATCTTCATCATATTCACCCATCAACTGCAACAAAAACGTTCCAGTGTAGAGAAGAAACTGTCCAGCTATTTGTGCTGCATGGGATATTAGCTGAAGCACTTTCCTAGAAGAAAAGCCATTAATTTAAGAAAAAATCACCAGCAAGATGACATTACCCCTTTCCACCCACACCGCCTTTATGAGTCAAGTTGATATTTTTAAAAACTCTCATTCCTGCTGACTTCTGAGCAGCTGGTCATTTTTATACCTTCTTTAGAAAAAATATTTGATTGACAAAAAACTAGTTCATTCTGCCAACTAGAAAACACATTTAACAAAGCAGGCTATCATCCTGCTAGACATTTACAAGCCTTCTGCAAAGCCACTACTCAAACTACCAGAACACCACAGAAGACAACTTTGCCTGGGAGCCCCACAGCACTCCTGCAACATAAATCCACCTCATGTCTCACCTTTAGGTCATTTATGCAATTCTTCGTGTATCTCCAAGCCACAGATCAAACTTGATTAGATCTGGAGCTGAACAATCACATTACAATAGACGCCCAACAGCAAAACTGGTGCAGCCAGATGAAGTAAGGCTGTCCAAGCTACAAGTCTTAAGAATTCTCTGTTCACAACTATTCTATTTTTAAAAGATTAAATAAGTATCATCATTCAAAAATATAATACTGTGAAAGAATCAGTGTAGGTCCATAAGGTAATATCAGGTAAGCATTGGAGGTCTACAATATAAACTGTGGATCATCACTGGATCACAGAGGAATAGAAATTGTCATACTTGAATGGTTGTTTATTCATCTTAGTTGTAGGTGCATCTTCCTTCCATTCTCCAAGAAACAATGGGGATATCAGTACTAAGAGCTATATTGGAGTCTCATTCCCCAGAAGTTAAGTAGGCCCTCACAGGTATGAGGCTGAGGCACTGGGGAAGAGATACACAAGAACTGGGGCCATTCCAAACCCAGAATGGGATCGGTTTCTGAAGATGCAGCAACCAGACTAGCCTTCCTCTTCTGCAAAAAAAGGGGGGAAGATTTTCTGAATTCCTGTCTGAGAAAACATGCAGGTGTGAACCCTCTACTGCTATTCACTTGTCCTTTGATCTTCAGCAGAAAAGACAAAATCTTCTTCCTTCAAATTCATTTGTCCCCACTGTGATGAAAGAAGGTTTGCAGTCAAAATCCAGTGCTTCAGAAGATTAGAATACCCTGTACTTATAGCCTGGGAAGCCTTTCAAGAACACTGTATACTTATTTGTGCTTCCCTGAAATGAGCCATTTCAGCATGTTCTTCCTCCATCACACAGGCCAAGGAGCTTTACAGTCGTAAGGAAAGCTGGATCTGGTACTGAACTTTTGAGCAGCTGCAGTGTGTCACTTGCACACAAGAGCAGTTGCCACTTAAGCCATGGAGCAAGTTATTTGTTGAACTGGACATTTGATCCTTCAGCTGGACACAGTAGGGAGACACCATTAGGGGAAATGCACTAATCAGATCTGGCAGGCTTCCAATCCCTCCCACCCATGAACAACTGTAGATTTTTTAAGTCCTCTCCCTTCACACTCTGCAAGTGGACTCAGGGAGAGGGCATCAAAATTAGCAATCTGGAACTCATTAGCAGAGGGACCTAGCATCATCTGTCTCCTATTTAAACAGCAGGCTGAGACAGGCCATATTAGTCTTATGTTCAAGGGTATCAAGGTTATCTCTTCTGTCACCCCTGTTCTTTGCTAGCAGACTGTTTTCCCACCTTGCCACTGGCACTTCCCTTACAGCTCAACTGTGTAAAATAACAGTGCTTCCAGAAGAACTCCACAGCTACTTCAGCTGTTGCCAGCACCACTCCTTTCTCAGCAGCTGCCCTGTCTTGGCAGGGAGGCAGAATTGTCACTTCAAACTCTCCTTAGCAGCGCAAGTTCCAGTGCTGATACTCAGCTCCATAGCAGGCAGCCAGAGATTAGAGTTTGTTTTGGCTCAGAAAACTTGACAAACATAGGAACTAGAGGAGTGCAGCTGTCCAAGGGCAAACCTTTGCTTTGAAGAAACCCTAACAAAGCCAGTGTTACAGGTGGGTGTAGCATGCAGCTGGATCATTGCTGCAGTCTGACCAGAGACAGTCTCATCTACAGTCACACCAGCTGTAGCTTGAAAGATTAAGCAAGTAGAGTGGGAGAGGTCAGTCAGACTGAAAGACCTGGAACAAGATTAGCATTACAATGCTAATTAGCATACCTGCATCAAGAGAGGAGGGAATACTTAAAGACTTCAAGCTAAAGACTACTTGTCACTCAGGGGAAGTGAAAACTTTGCTTATGACATACATTTCTGTCTGTCAGATCTGTCCTCGAGTAATAAAATGCAGCAATGCTACACCATTGTGTATCAACCAAAATTTGAAAAGTCACAAAGAGAAATTCAGGGCTGCAGCTTAAAAAACTGTCAAAGTATGTCACCTCTGTGAAGAAGGTACCTGAATTCAGGAATCTTCTTGAACCAGGGCAGGACGAAGTTTTGACAAGGCACCAAGTTTTAACTCATTGTTGCAAACCGTGGACAAGACAGGTATTATTTTGCCCCTGAATAAGACACCATTTCCCAACAGCCAGTTTTACCAAATTCACAACCCACCACAGATTAGTCCTGCAGAAGATAGTGGTCCTTGATAAGCTCCATTAGTCTGCCTCCAGAACACTTGGTTTAAGAATAGTGAGGTCAGTGTCTTCCTACAGATGACAAATTCACATTAAGATAGAGTGTCATATCTCTTCCATTTTCCTTTGCCTCTATGTAGCTCGGCTGGTGAATTTGGCAGACAGTAATTGCAAAGTCCAAGCAAGCTTTAACACTAGATCACAAATTCCTCTCATTTCATTCCCTGGAAGTCCTCCCTTCAAAGAGCTTCTTCCTCAGCCTTCTGCATTCTTCAAACAAGTCAAAGGAGTTTGGGGAAATTCTCTCAGCAAAACAAAGAGATTATACTTACACCCTTGCAGTATATACAAGCTGATAAGATTTTGGCCTTGGGAGAAATTTAAGATTCCACCATAAAAAGCTATAGGAAGTTTTTACAAATCAGCTATGCACCTTTCAAAGGAAGATTCAGCATATTGGCCAGTATGTAAGAAATAATAAAACTAACTTTAATAATACTAACTTTATAAACACACCTGCTCCACAGAACCAATAGCAAACAGAGATTTTATATTAACGCATACACCTGATCAGTAGTGGCAACATACTTACCGCAATATACTTTTTGCTCCCATGAATTTGATATCCCATGAGACAGAGTAGATCTCATAGAAGGTCGCCTTGATGTTTAAGCAGCCAATAAAATCCTTAGGGTTCAGCTTGTACAGATCAAATGTGATGTTAGCTACTCCATTTCTTGTCTAATTTGAAAGAAAGAGAGACAGTTTGTACCACGATGCAGGAAACTACAGCAGGAAAATTGTTAACAAAGCAGCTCTTCAGAAGAAGCTTTGCTTATTCCAGTCTTAGGGTTAGCTCTTGGTCAATTCTAAACTAGAATTGAAAGCATTAGCACAAAGAAAAGCAAATATGTATCTTATGTAATTTTGTTCAAGTCCTGACCAGGATTTTGAAGCTATTCCACAAGGACATAGAAGTTCAAGTGACATAACACCTCCTGAATATTTCTTTTCTGTAGTAGAGCTTCTTCAGTGTATACTGAAGCCACAGGTAATGACACTGGACAGTGTTCCTACCACTTATTTATCCTGGTACTTTCCAGTTGCTATCTGAGGCAGCACAGTTAGTCTACACTGAAGCAGGCCACTAAATAACCAGGATGATGTTCTGTTTAGGAAGGCAGACAGTATTGATGAGCTCTCTTAGAGACAGCTACAAAAATATCATATGTGAAAAGTCATGTCCTCATATCAAACCCTGGCTCATAACACCTCTTTTTCTTCCTACTAAAAAGAAACACAGGGAGGGAACCACTGCTGATTAGGCCTAGGGTTTAGTAATGAGTTTTTAAGAGAAAAATCAAGGGAGAAGGAGCATGGAAAGTCATCTTCCACCTTAAATCCAGCCTCCTTTATTGAAAGCAGCCCTTGTCTGCTGCAGGGCTGACAGTAGGAAAAACAAAAAGAAAACAGTAAAGAGAATCCATATTTACAGAGACATCTAGTGGATACACAGGATCCTCTGCTCAGCACATTCCACTCAAGGTTAATGGCCTGGCAGCTGTCAGGTTGTTTTTTGCATGCTAAATGAAGCAATAAAGTTGCGTAAGACCGGGGCTTTTTGTGCTTGTCACCCCAGCTCTCAGACAGTGTCATGATAAGTCAGACAAAGTTAAACACAGCAGTATATCATTAGCCAGCAGTTTTATGCCTGTTTTACTTTGATAGCCTCCAAACTCCAGCAATAGGATCCCCTATCAACAACAGCTTTGGAATATGTAGAAGTAGTTGGTGTACTTGGTAGCATGTCCCGTCCTAGACCCTCCCTATTGGCATCCAGAATATTTGGTTAAAGCATAATAGAGCTGGTGCTGTACTCTAGATGATTTGTGAAGCTGAAGCGGTCCTTCTGCTGACACTCAGCACATACTGAAGAGAGGCTGCATTCAAACTTGTGCTGCTGCCATGCCAGACAGGATAGAGGGGAAAGGAACAAGGTGGAATCACACCCTGGCTACAACTTCTTTTTTGCCCTTGGAGCTCATGGGCCAGATGCAGCAGGTTGATAAGCCAGTGAGATATCTTGGGGGAAAATGTCCAGACTCCCCACACTGCAGCAGGAGATTGAGAAAACAGTGCCACAGAATTGAGCCATATGTGTACAAACATACAAATGGTATGTCTGCTTACAGCTCCACAGGTAGCTCTGCACCTGGTAGAAAAAATGATGCTAGCTTTCTAGTAACAACCATGTAAAGGAAAGACAGTTAAGAGTTTGACTATGTTATTAATGTACAGATGACTATTTCCCCACAAAACCACTAATTGGACATTGAATTGATGTGATTAGAAGGCTAAAGCTAGCGAGTTTCAATAGTTCTTAAAACATCTTGAAGCATGTAGACTAACACAAGGTTCTAATGCCAGCTTTTAGCTATTTGTAAAATTAAAACACAAGCATTTTTCTAAACTTCACTAAATTATTACTACATTCACAAGAGAGAGCTTGCTTTACATTGCTTAATTTGGTCATTTTTTATGCTTTAAAAGCTAGCTTTTAAGGACATTTACCCCATGAAGTTAAAAAATACAAGGTCCTAATTTTCTTTATGTTACAAAAAGTAAGTAAAGAACAAAGTTATTTCTCTAAAAGCAGGGTATTTTCCCTACGATTCTTTTCAGTTGTAATGTTTTATTTCAATTCTTGGTAGATCTTCGCCAACAGAATATGTCCAAACAAGGGACTTGATTTTTCACCCAGGAAGGCTCAACAAGGAGTTGATACCTTGACTTCTTTGGGGTAATTTTTCTTCCTCTTCTGCCCTCTTTCCAACAATTTTAGCAGCCACAAACATTCTTCCGTCCACTTCTACTCAAGTGAGAGAGAAGAAGTCAACACTTACTGGTGCCCATTTCTGTCCTTTTTCTAGAACTATGAAGTGTGTATTATCATCCAGGGACTTGAAAAACTCTTCTGTGTCCACAACTGTGCCATCTTCCTCTAAAACCAGAGTAATTTTTCTAGCAGATATAAAGAAGGAATCTAAAGTCTGAAAAAAAAAAAAATCAGTACATTTTAGCATTCTAAAGAGAGCCCATCATTTCATATTAAGATTTGTTTATTTGACATATTCTCCCAAACTTCCCCAGTAATGGTTTTTAGAAGGAAAAGTCTGTGGTTTGTCTTTCTGGGACACTGTATTTCACTATAAATTTCAGTCAGAGTGGGACTGTTTGCTATACCTTGCTGATGAGCTCTTGCAGACTGCTTGCAACAATTCCTTTCCTCCTGCTTCGGGAGGCATTGGACACACGGAAAGGTCGCCCTGCAGGCACAAGAGGAGGGAACAGGGCCTGTTTTGTTATGGCTCCTACAGATGCTCCCATGGATATCAAAGATCTAAGACAAACAAAAATTCAACATAGTTATAAAAAACCAGCCATGTCAAGTTGTGCGAGAAGGAGGAGGACTGTTGAGTTCAATGACATAATCACATTATACGAGTAATTCACAGATCATGTTAGACCAGTGGAGCTTCCTTTCAAAGTTATGTACTACACAGCCCTACAGATATGTCTCTGAACATTTCTCTTTTGCTCATGGCATTTGGAAGCACTTTAAAACAATTTCAAGCAGATGTGGGCCACCTCTAGCTCAGCTGACATCAAGGTCACAATTGCAGTGAAGCTGATGGGTTTTAATACTGAATTAAAAAGGCAGCAGCTCTTACTGCATTCAGTCACTTAGATTATTCTTTTTACCTGCAAGATAAACATGCAGTGAGATAAAGAATTAGTTGAAAGTAAACTTATGTGTTAAGATAGGAGTTTCCTTTAGGAAGACTGAACATATTACCTACATTCGAAACACCTACTGTCAGAATGCAAGTGGAGCTTTTCAATATAGTTATGCTTGACTTACAAACAGCCCAGGCCTTTATCTTGTAAATTATATCTACAGCCTACAAAACTTGATCGAGTTTTGAAAAACACAAACTAAGACTTGTTTGTGCCCTAATGTATCAGAAGGAATCAAATGAAATGAAAGTTAAGATCCAAGTACATAAATACATGGTGTTGGAACAGGCTGTTGCCAGAGAGGCTGGAAAAATTCAAACACTTTTAGAAAGATGTTTTAGATTTTCTGGGCAATTGCATGCTTTAATAGTGACTGCTTACCTTTGGTAAACCAAGCACACAACACTGGTAACTGCCTACTCCCACCACAAGGTACAGACCTGCTCTCATCTACACTTAGTGCCACTTTTTTTGCCAAGTGCTGTTGGCTAATTCAGTAATCAGCTTGCCAAAAATGATGCTCTGCCTGACACCTGGAAAGAAAGGATTGATCTCTACATCTTTTAAAGGGAGACAATATTTTGCCTGCCACACCCCTGGACTTTACCTCCTTTGCTCCTTAATACTGAATTGCTCAGGGATGGGAAAGGGATGCATCCCCATTTTGTTCTCCCACATAGGTGTAAAAGGTCAACTCTATGTAGGAAAATCTATTCTCAGACACTTTCACCGAGAGTAAAGGGGTGAACTGGCAGCCTTTTTCTGCAGCCAGAGAGTGAATACAGGAATTCCTAGAACAGCAATGAAATGCTGTTACTCAACTAAAGTTACTCAACTAATAACGTCCCAGTCACATCTTTTTCAAAAATCCACACCATGGAGACTAACTATCTTTTCCAAACCTCTTATCTGGTCTCTAAGCATATTTTTTGAATGCACAGAAAGCAATTTTTGTAACTGAACAGATTCAGATTTCAGCAAATAATTTATTTCCTGCTCTCATTCTGAGTCACTGTTCAGGCTATTGCCTTTCCTTTTTACACCAAAATTTCCCTTCTTCAAAAACTTTTTGGCATTATTGGAGGAGAATGAGAACGTTCAACAGTTTTGTTCTAGCTTATGCTAACATCTTCTTTGTAGTGCTGTCTATACACTAGGTCCCTAGCTTTCAACATTTGGCATATATATACACATGGCTGATGTAAATCTCTCCCCTTCCCGTAACAAAGCTGGTGAGGATGAGCAGTCGGCATGGCTTTCAGGAAACAAGCATTGTTTCAAATTAAAGAGCTAATAAGCACTATTCCTCCTGGAGAAGGGTCAAGACCAGGGAGGAGGACAAGGTGACAGTAGCACCGACAAAGGCACTGAAGCTCCACAGAAGGGAAGCCTCCTGGGACAGGGGTGTTTGTCAATCTCATCGCTGACTAAGTTAATAGTCCCCCAATCACCCCACTGGTCTGTGGGCAGCTTGCATTCTGAATCACTGAGTCTCTTCCTCAGACAGGAAGCCTGCTCATCTGCCTTGGGGCTGGGGACGCCACAGGGCACCCTGATGTTAGAAAATGCAGCTCTCTGGTTTCAAGAGCTTTCACAGCTAGTTACATCTCATTCCCTCTTACACATTTGAAAATCTGTATGTAGATTAGTTACTTGAGTGATGTATATGACAGTACTGCCAATTTTTTTTTTTTTTTTTTTAGGGACAGTCAATACCAGACCCATTGAAAAGTTTGCTTTCCCATTACTTAAGCCAAGTTGTCATTCACAAAAGACAAACCATAAGGTAAACAGCCAAAACACACATGCCAATACAGAATGAAAAGTGTTAGGGGCACAGCTCATGGCAGAACTCAAGCTAACAGGGTTCACCTCAGGCATTACCACAACCCACTATACAAGCCATACATTAAAGCTCTGAGCAGAAGTTCCTAAAGGGTTCAAGATCAATCACCTCACACTGCTGCCTAATTCTATCAGATTTAAAAAGTCAGAGACGAAAAACCAAACTAATCAGATTAATAAACCAGGACTTTCATTGTCTCCACCAGACAGTGACTGAACAGGAGTCAAAGTCTTAAGAATTTATTTAACACTGACAACATTACACCTACATTTTGATCAGACCTGTCAATATCATCTTTAAACTAAGGCTACTTATGAAGCAGTGAGTCTGAGCTTTAGGCCAGGCTGAGGTTTCAGCTAATGAGAAGTATTAGGAGACAAAAGCCAGTACGATTAAATAAAGCCAGATAAACAGAATGTGAACTCTTCCGTTTCTGGGTCAATTCCTGAAAGCTTGGGTTTGTGTTTGGGTTTTTTGTTTGTTTGTTTGTTTGTTTGTTTGTTTGGTGTGCCACTCTCTTTCCCAGACTATAGACTCAAATAGGCCAGCCTACACTCAGGGCTCTTAGAAAGATCCCTTCTTGTTGCAGCTGTCCTCAAAAACCAGACAAACCAATTCCTGATGCAGGGAATTCCTCCGCTAGACTGGAGTTACCAAAATAATTTCCTATTAAAAGCTGATCAAGCTAAGTCAAGAAACAAGTGGTGGAAAGAAACTAAGGTATAGCTGGTTTTATTATAAAGTCGAGTGACATGTTAGATACACATTTTTTTATTTTTATACACATATTTTTATTATTCTTTAAAGTTGAAAGAATCAAGTCCTAGCTCTTCCCTAAAGGAAGAGAAATCCTATGTCTGTGGAAAACAAAAATACATTTTTAACTGAAAGATCAAATATCTTCAAAATCTAGCATCTTACCTAGTTTGTTTTGGATAACTACAACCTGCTAAAGAGGGACTCACAGATACTGCTACAAGCATTCACTGTAACGTCAAAACTGGTGGAAGAGATTAATTCATTTTTTTAGGAGAATCCAGGAATTAAAAGCCTGCCTTGAGCCCTGCACACATTTCACTATTTACCCTTGGTTGCAACATGCCCCATATGTTTGTATAAGAATCTCGCTCATAAAAATCAATGTTGCACAACACAAGTGGTTCCAGGATATGGCACAGTTTGCTTTTTAGGTTAGGGTTCACTGGCAAATGGCAACGTCAGGAACAGTGAAGTTAAAAAAAAAAAAAAAAAGAAAAGGCTCAGAAATTAGTCAGGAGACTTAAGGTTCAACTAGATGGCAGCCATGGTCTCCCTAATTAAACAAGAGCTGTGGAGATACCAGAACCGCAGCTGGCAGCGGATGCTTTTTTGGGTAGTGCACAGAACTGTACCTCCATGGATGTGGTTGACACGCCTGGGACGCTAGCGGAGGCCAGGGGTTGTGGTCATGTTGTCACCGAGTACAAGCGGCTCCCGGCTACACGGAGGCTCCGCTCCTGACTCGCCAGTTCCCGGCACACAGGCGGCAGGCTCGGATGCCGGGATGTGAGCGCATCCGGTCGTTGCACCTCAGCGGGCAGTTTAAACTGAAAGGCTCCTACTTGCGCTTCCCTCAGCAGAATTTCAGCCAGGATCACAGAATCAAGGTTAGAAAAGACCTCTGAGATCATCGAGTCCAACCTTTTACTTAACACCTTGTCTACTAGACCATGGCGCTGAGTGCCACATCCAGCCTTTTCCTAAACACCTCCAGGGACGATGACTCCACCACCTCTCTGGGGAGCCCATTCCAATGCCCAATCGCTCTGAGACTCTGTCAAGAACTTCTTCCTAAAGAAGGATTGCAGGGCTGCGAGAGTGTCTCGACTTGTTTCTCCCACTCAGGGCCCATCAGCTTTAATCCCCCAGGAGCCCCGCCCGCCTTGGCCGCCCTCGCACCGCGCTCCCAGTGCGCCCTTTGCTCCCGAAGCGCTAGAGCCGACAAAGAGCTGTTCAGATTGGGCTTCCCCCGGCAGCCAGACCCGTCGCCGGGATCAGCGTGGGAAGCGGGGATGGAGAAGGGGTGTGGGTATCCCGGCACTCACCGCAGCAGCGATATCACGAAATCCCACGCCACCTCCATGGCCGGTCCGGCCGCGGGGCAGCGCCGGTCACGGTGCTTAAGTGTAGCGGGCGGGGCTCCTCCTCCGGGTGGAGGTGGCCCCTCCTGGTCCCGGCCCTTCCTGCCCTCCCTCACTCCGGGGACAGTGGGAGCCGTGCCCTGGGAAGAGGGAGCACTGCCCAGACAGTCCCGACTGGGCTTAACGCTTGTCCACAGCACCATGGCGCCAGCGGCGGGGATGCAGGAACAGGTGTGAGGGAGCGCACTTCGGGAAGGAGTATTTTTTCAGGTGCTTTGTAGTTTACCTGAGAAAGGAGCGGGAAGGATTTTGTTCAGTGTGCATCGGAGGTGCATGCTACATTGTGGCTAGATACAGCTAATATAGTAACAGTCAGAGCATTAGAGCATTAGAGCATTAGAGCAAATCAACAGATTAAGTATCTCAGCTTCTGATTTTAGAGCCTGTGAATAAGCTTACAGCTCGGATTAATGTTTACAGTAGCTTCAGTGAGGGTGTTTACTGTTACTCCTACAGGCAGGAGAGCAGCGACTTCTGTTCGCTACACAAGTACCAAGGCAGTATTTCCTGTTCATGTATGTCTGTGAGCACAAATACGGTTCTTTTGGGCCCTGGAGCCAGGATGTTGTTTACATCCGTCCAACCACTATTGCATAGGGAAAACACTGAAACCTGTGAGCATTGAAACCTGCCTCTCAGGCAACAGCCTGACCTAGGGCCAGCATCTGCACCAGGAAACTCTGCCATGGCTGATCAGGGAATGACTCCAGAGGCCCTTGCCACCAGCATTCAGGTTACCCCCAAGGTCAGGAATAATTAGTTACCTGGTTGCCTGTATTGTTTTTCCCAAACTAGCCTGTTTAGGGTAGGAAGAACCACTCAAAGTACCTCTTACTGTCCAGGTTTCTTTAGCCTGCAGGCTGACATCTACTGGATGTCTTCTTCAGTCCTCAGCTTTTGGGGTCCTTATCAGCTAAGGATTTTTCTGAACAGATGAGTCTCCAAATGTCTGGAGGAGGTGGAAATTTTGGTCTTGCAGAAGCTTAGTTTTCCTCTGGCCACGTGCCTCTTCCCAGAGGTCTTTGTAGAGACATCCAACCAGCGCAGCCACTGCTAAGCATCCCCCTGAGGTGACATACCGGATGCAAGGCTGACACAGCTCTGAGACAGGAACGGTGTGTTTTGCAGGGACATGCTCCTCATCAACACTAGTGCCTCAGTTGTCATAACTAATACAAACACAGATGCTTAACTAATACAAACATAGATCCACAAGAGTAACAGGAAAAACATGTCCTTTCGAAGACTGTCCTGATCTGTAAGGAGAGAAGAGTATTACCTGTAGTTTTACAAGCTGCCTTAATACTCCTTTTTTTTTTTTCTGAGCAAGCAGCAGTAAGACCATTAGATGGGTAAAATCACTGACTTAGGAGCTGGACACCTCATTAAAGAAGTGTCTTTGAACAGCAGCAAGACAGCACATAGATGGGATGTGCACAGAACCTACCAAGGAAGATTATAAAACAGTAGCATGAGACAAATCTGGCAGGTCAGGGCAATAAAATGAGATCTCATAAAACCCAGAAGTGACAAGATAACATTCAGTATAAAGAAAATAGCTGTAAGAGGCAGAATTACTCCACTCATTTACAGGGAGAGAAAATGGACCATAGGTTGAGGTGAGAAGGCTAGAATACTTAGCAACGTTTGCTTCAGTCATCACTGAAAACATTAATCATGCAGGGGACAAAGTATGTGGCTGATGTTGAAGGGAATGAACTCTAGAGGTGGAGTTAAATAAGCAACTGTGTTAATCCCTCTTGCTAAACTACTGTCTCACTGTCCCTTTGCTGAGTGCAATGACTGCCTCCACATGTATTACATTTCCACTGCAGTTCAAGTTAAACAAGTTTGCTTAAGTCACTCCTCACAGGGGTCATATTGCTATGAACAGAAGTCTGCATATGACACGCTTAACAGGGAGGAGGAGGAGGCACTAGAAGTAGTTTAGCTGGCAACTTTGCACTGGTGAGCACGCAGGTTTTCCTTATTCCCCTTCAAGAAAAAATTGGCAGATTGGAACAAACTCAAAGTGGGAATGATCAGTCATGCAGAAAAACATGGTAGGTATATGGGCTGTGTGGTTTGGGAAATGGAAAGGTTGGGTGTAGATGTGAATCATGGGCTTCAATGATCTTAGAGAACTTTGTAAAGGGAAACAGAATAACATTTCCTCTATGCCTTTACCAGTAGGAAAGGAGAATTAAGTCATCCATTAAGAGATATTTCCCCTCTAAGGTGACTGTCATTAGGTGGGATCAATTGCCAACAGAAAATATAGGGTCAATTAGACGCAGACATTGCTTGGGCCAGTGATCAAATAACATAAATGACAAGTCGGGACACTAAGGATCAATTTGGAGTTTCTTTTTATTTCTTAAAGCGCTGACAAATTACATGAAAATGATTAATGCAGAATAAAGTGTATCTCTACCTTTTCTTCTTTGACCTAAGAGGGGAATGCAAGAAGTGAACAGATGTACTTACAGCAGAGTTAGCAACAAAGGTAACAGATTAGAAGGGTTCACTTAGATTTGCAAAAGCTAACCTTCTGTACAGCTTTCTGCCTTTTCCTATTTTCAGTTAAGTCTGATCCTGATTTCTGTTAGAGCCACTCTTGTGACCACCCCTAAGTAAGTTTAATTATTTCTCATCCCTTTAATTGAGAACCAACTTTCTATTCTTCACTGCATCCTCAAAATAATATTTACTTCTAAACTACTTTTACTACTCAGCAGATTTCTATCTCCACTGATTCTGGTTCTGTTTTATTTCTGTCAGGCTGTTTATGTTAAAGATTTGGTTGTTCATTCTTAACATTTTTGTTAACCGCTACTGCACCATCACTGAAAATTTTTAAGAGCAGATTAGACCTGCATCTGTCATGGAAGGCTTAGATAGAGATGGTTATTTTGAGAAAAGGCTGTGGAGTAAAAGTTCTCATGAGGTTGCTTTTTATTGTTTTCCGTCTTTTTCAGAATATTTGTTAATGAAACTATGTTATAATATCTAAAGCTTTGCAGGACCCACCGAGTGGTTTTGTTTGCTGTACTGGAGGGGATGAGGCTCCTCCTAAAGGTGATCTCGCTGCTCTGCAAGGCTAGGCCGAAGAAGCTGGGAACGTTTTTTGGTACCGATTAAAATCCTCTGTAATTAGCTGGAAATGATTCTGTGGCTAGCAAAGACTCCAATGTTGAATGCCCTGTTTGAATTAAAGACTAACCTTTTGCTGCAGCGAATCATCTGGCCCAGAAAAAATCCCGTTCTTTATTATGAGATTTCATGGCTGGGTATTTTCTTTTATTTTGTTCTTTTTGGTTTTCAACGATTTTAACAGTAAGATCAAGACAGTGCTGATGGGTGGGTAAATGCTGTACACATAAGAAAAATTACTCTGCCAAGAATGTCTCAGTGGTGTGAAATACTTGGAACACAAATTTAAATGTAGATGTTTTATAGCTAGATGGGATATTAAAATCAGAAGGTCAGGCTTTGCCCTCATTTACTCCCTTTGCAACACTGTATGTGTGAATGAATTGCACATATTTGCGGGTAGCATTTAGCTGAAAGCTGACTTATTGAGTGCATCAGTGTGACGGCAGTAACAAAAAGAAGAAATGTTGCCCATGAGATTCATTATTGAAGATAATGTACTGGAAACTTAATATTTATTTATTCTGATCATGCCATAGATCATCTGAAGTATTTTATTTTACATTTCAAAAGTTGCAACATCAAAAATATATCCAAATAAATCTAAACCACTCTTTTTGTTTGTTTGTTTGTTTGTTTGGCTTTGTTTCTAATATCTTTACAGTTTATTATTGGTTTAGTGGTACTCCCCACAGGAAGGAAAAAATATTCAAGAAGAAATATGAATTTTTATTTTATAAGCATTAGAATTTTCTTTTATGAGGCTTTTCACCACAAAATGAGAGGCTATCAGGCATGGAATTGTCCCACGACTGCACACCAGTGTTATGGTTTTTACAACAAAGCTTGAATTGCTTCAGACTGCAGTCAGCATTCCAGAACTACTAAATCGCCAACTGACCTGTGAGCTCATGCTTCCTTGGTAGCTGCACTAATTAATTAAATACCTACATTTAAAAAATCTTCTTAGACAAGGAGTATCTCTGGTTTAGGTGTTCTATGGCATCCTTTCAAGGTTTAATTGAAAGTAACAATTATTGTGCTTTGGTTTTGTCCAAAATATAAAGACTAAGAAAATAATAGACAGAAAGCTTAATGGGTGTCTTTCCTGAGGGTCCCACTGCATTTGAATGCATGTCTTTCTGCCTGAGGTGTGTAGACCTCTGAGTTTGATCAGTCATTTTTAAGGGATGCACAAACAGGAACTAGATTTGCAGATGCCACACAGTAATTTATATGCGTGTGAAATTCCAAGGCAGGTCCACTAAGAAATTTTTAAGGATCACACACAGATTGAAACAGACTGAGAAAAATATTGCTATGACTCACTGCTTTTAGATTCTGCTCAGGCGCTTTGCTCTCTGGACAAAAAAGCTCTTAGTAAGCTGCAAGAGCTCTCAAGGTCAAGTGACCGTCAGATGTAATTTGGGTTCTAAACCTGACTTAGGATCTAAATGCCTTCTGACCAAAGCTGGCCTGCCTCTGTACCCATCTCTGCAAAATATCCAGTCAGCCCTCAGACTCTAAGAGGTCTTTTTTTTTTTTTTTTTTTTTACACTGTGACTATTTTCATATGTGTTTTATAATCCCTTAGCAATAGGGGCAGTTGTTAGCCATGGGGTTGGTTTGTGGTGCACCCCAACACCCCAACACTCACTGCCTTTATGTGGGTCAGGCTGCAGAAGGAGGAGAATGGTTTTATGCTGTAAGGTTGATAGTTCTCTGGTCTGAATGCCTGGGCCTTGCTATTCTCCTCTTGTTTCTACCACTGCTCAGCTGCAACTCCCTGCCCCCAGCCACCTCAGCTCCAAAGTCCTTGCCATCTCCTATCTCATGACCTCAGGTGTCTGTTTGTGCCTCCCTCACTGGCCTCAGTCCATGTAGC